TTGCAGCGTTTTACTCTCAAATTCGAGAGGCGTGTAGAGATGTAAAGGATAGGATCCGGTGCGGGTTATGTTAAACCCGTACTCTACCCGTATGTTTTTCACTATAGTCCTACCCCTGGCCCGTTATGCATTTACCACCCTTTGGGTTCACCGTGGGTAATGCTGTTAAATTAAACGAGTCTGGCTCGGCTTGGCCCGTTAAAGCTTGGTTCGACTCGAGTTTGAAGCCTTAATGAGCCGAGTTCGAGCTCATTTAAAGCTCGTTTGGTTAACAAGTCGAGCTCGGCTCGGCTCGATAAGGCTCGAAAAGTGAAATTTATGTAATTTTTATAGTTCGGCTCGTTAAAGCTCGAGACCGGCTCGAGCTCGGCTCGTTTACAGCTGGGTTTTTCACTTGATTGGATTTTATGCTACCCAAAATCTTACTCGGCCCGACACGGCCTTGTGAGTGAAAAAGTTATGTACATATTTGAAATGTCTAGTTCATTTTTTTATCATCAAATAAATTTATATTGATCAAAATTGAAAGTCATACAATCGGATCGGCTTACAAGAGCAAAGCGAGTAGCCACAAGTTGACTCCTCACTTGCAGGAACAAGAAATAACGAGGACAACCACAAGTCGGCTGCTCACTCGTTAGAAGCAAAAACAATGAAATTCCACGGGGAAGCTAGCGGCGCTAGAACAGTCTTAGCGGCGGTAGCAGTGAGGTGGCGAGCTCGGGCATTCAAGACAAAGACACCTCCTTTCCAATTCGGCAAGAACTCTCGGAAATAGAGCCATATACATGAGTCTTTACCTTTCTAATCACGAAACTTGGAGGTTGGCTTTCATTCTTGAAAATCAATTGATTCCTAGCATGCCAAATGAAGTACACGGTGGTCGCTAGTGCCACTTTCTTCAATTTGGCTCTCCAAGTCGTCCATTTTCCTTCTTTTTTAGTCCATTTGAAGGTACCCTTGAGCGTTGTTGGACTATACCGGAGGCTAACCCAAGTTCGAATTTCACTCTGTATTTCCGAGCTAAAGGGGAAATGTCTAGTGCATTTACTACTATATGTCATGTACGAGTCAATAATAATAAATTGTATAAATTAAAGGAATGAACGGATATTGATTAAAATAAAAAATAGTGTTGAACATTAATGTTATTATTAGCTTTTATTTTTATTTATAAAATAATAGTTTAACATGTGACTTGTATGTGTATTTCTCACGTTATAAATTAACTTTTATTTTAGTGTTACAGTTTACAATTAAGGAAAATATAAAAAAAATTACATTTTCAAACATTGGTTATGAATAATGCCCACAAAATACTCTTTGTATATTTCATTACTTACCCCTTACTGCAATATATTATTTGGATTTCTAAACAACTTATGGTAAAGTTGAGTATTGTGGAAATATTATAAATTGTCCCATAATTTAAAAAGAATATAAGTTATATTATTAAGAAGTAAAAGAAATGTTATTTTTCAATACGTAAAAAATATTTTTACTTTTTTATTACTTACAATAATGCATACTAGTGCAGATTCAGTGTGATGCACATGATGAACAATTTTAAGGCTATTTACTACAGTTTTAAGGCTATTTACTCAACATTGTTATTATATTCCTGAATAAAGAAAATTGAATAAATAAAAATAATAATACTATATATTATTAAAAACATCCATGTAGACTAGGGGCGACCGAACACAATTAGAAAAACCGAAATAACTGAACCATACTTTCCAATAACCAAAATTCATTGAATAATCAATTTAAACCGAACATAACTAACCAAACTTCTTGGTTGGTTTGGTCAAGTGTGAGAACCTTTACAGAACATGGTCATTTTGGGTCAAAATATAGAGAAGTGTGAGAACATTTGCATAGAGTGATCATTTTTTTGTCAAACCATGGAGAAGTGTGAGAACCTTTGCAAAGATTGGTCATTTCGGGTCAAAACATAGAGAGAGGAGTGGGTCTTTTACTACAAAAGAAGACATGGTATTGTAATGGCTACATCAACATTTTCATTCTACACACAAAACCTTTATCACATATAACTTATTGTAAGAATGTCGATCCGTTCATCTTCCTATAACCAAGATGAATATACTTTTTTATTTCAGTTTTGTATGAAATTTTCTCATGACCCAATTATTAGCGTATACTGATCATATGATTGCTTTTGGTCTCATATAAAGAAAGCTTTCAACAAAGAAAAAACTTGAGCATTGGGAGGTTCGTAACAAGAGATTTGTGCAAGCACGAATTCAAACAATCAAAAAAGGAGTCAAGAGACTTTGCGCATGCATAAAAGCAGTAGAATATATGCATCAGACTGATGCTTCAAATGATGATTCAATGAGTATAAAATCTTATTACATCTTTTACTTAACAAATTTATTATTTATATTAGTTATCGTCAGTTGTTTATAACAAATTGTAGATGCTCAAATCAAAGTGTTGCTCACATTTTAAATAGAGTCACATTTGAAATATTGTTAAGAACTTTATAAAATGTAAAGATGATACTACGAGGGGAAAGAAAAGAAGAATTCGGTCATTATTCCTCCTTAGAGTAAAAAATCCCACACTCGAGTCTGACAATTCGGTCATTGTTCCTCCTCGGAGTCAAAAAGTCCCCCTCTCTAGTCTGCCCGACAAGCACCCTCGCACATTTCTTCATTTTAGATAAACTTAGACAACTCAAATCAATATGCTGGCTCTCCATCTAAAAAAGGTATTAGAGTGAAGAAAGTCAAACTAAAAAGGAAGATTAATGGTGATTTATATGGATCATACACCATGTAAGAAGCAAATAATGAATATCTTGAGGAGCTACAGAAGTCAGAAAACCAAATGAACCACCAAATAGAGATGCAAAACATATCTAATGTATTAAAACAAATTTTGTTTCAAGATGTCTGTTTCATAAAAGATCCTATAGTTCGAGTGTATAACTATGTTAGGTAAAACTAACTGATATGCTAGCTTATAACTTATATGTAATTTTTGCACTTATAACAAAGTTTATAACTTATAGCTGAAAACTAACTTATATGATAAAAATATTAAAATTAATTGATAAGCTAGCTAAAATAAAAAATTCAACTAGCTTATTTAAAAAGTTACCTAATGTAGCTTATGAGATAAGATCAAGCTTTTAAACAAGCTCGTCTTACCAAACGAAACTTATTCGAATACAAGAAACATATGAACGTGAAAAAAGACACAAATTTTGGAGAAAAAAGCTTACAAAGCCCACTCGATTTATTTCCAACCGACACATTTGAACATTAATTTATTTATTTTTTTTATGTCTTTTTACCAGACCCAACTAGATGGAAAGTCGTGATAACGAATGCCTTACATCACCGAAATTATACAGGACAATTAAGAAACATAAAATTAACTCGGAGTCAATCCGAAAGCAAATCAATGGTGAAAGAGTTGCAAAATCCCCTTCTGCAAATCAATGGTAAAAGAGTTGCAAATCCCCTTCTCTCAAAGGGGTAACATGACCAAATCCTACAAGAGTCCGAAGGAGATGTGCACCGAAATCTCCAATATGATTGCACAGAATTAACTCAGCTCCCTCAACTAAACTCATCAAAATGTCAAAAAGAACCTAAGGCACATATTTCAAGAGTTGGGATATCCTCAGTAGTCCATGTCACCCATGCTACCAGCGCCGCCCATTGGTGCGGCCGCCTTCTCGTCCTTGGACTCCACCACAATTGCTTCTGTAGTTGTCATCAACGACGACACGCTGATATTTTTAAAAAGAGAGAGTTCCCAAATTAGCCATTCCGTCTGAATCTCAAAGAACGTGAAATAATCAACAATAACTCGGCCATGCTCATAATGCTTACCTAGCAGCATCGACAAGGGCAGTCCTAATAACTTTCAGTGGGTCAATAATTCCAGCTTTCACCATATCAACATATTCACCTGTTCACGTGTAGTGCATATTAAAATCCAGATTCATAACATTGGATTCAACTGCTTTATCATCATTTTAAAGAATTTTTTCAAAAAACCCACATATACTGACCTTTAGCCGCGTCATATCCAAGATCAGGGTTGTCCGACTCCAACAACTTGCCCACTACAACAGCACCCTCAACACCGGCATTTGATGCAATAGTGTAAACAGGTGTCTGCATATAGTAACACAACTCTTTAATCGAATTAATAATCTATACAGAATTATGATGTTCATGTAAGTTAAGAATGTAGCAACATGCCTTCAACGCATTCTGAATAATCTGCACGCCAATCTTCTGATCGAAGTTTGCAGTTGGCAACTTATCCAATTCTTTCGAGGCATAGAGCAGAGCAACACCTCCACCTGGACAATTGCGCATTATTTAGCATATATTTACACAATTTTATCTATTTATTTATTTATTTATTTATTTATTTATTTTTATCTGGGGGTGATATATTGTCCATTGCAAATCGAGCTGAAAGAGTCATTGTCGACAATTCTCCTGGCATAGTGCTAATAATGGACTAGATCAAAATGACTCAATTATATTCTAGTGCTTCTTCTATTAGTGAAGTTTCTAGAAAAAAAAATATATCAAACAACGCAATGCACCTTGGGACGCTACGGAAATTAATTACAAGGGTAAGGTCTGCGTACAACTAACACCCCAGACCCCAACCAGTTGGGAATATACTGGGTATGTTGTTTTTTATCTGGGGGGTGAGAAAATTTTATTATTTAACATACCAGGAACAATTCCTTCTTCTACAGCCGCTTTCATGGCATTTAGAGCATCAGTCACCCTGTCCTTTTTCTCACCTACTTCAGCCTCACTAGCACCTCCAATCTAAAAGAAAATCAACTTACCATATTAAATAATTATGTTTTTTCGACATAAAAATGTACTGATCTATGGAGCGCTGAGAATACAAAAACAGACCTTGAGGACAGCTACACCGCCAGAAAGTTTTGCGAGCCTTTCTTGCAACTTCTCCTTGTCGTAATCAGAAGTACTCAATTCAATTGCGGACCTAATCTGTATTAGCAGGACATGTAGACATGAGCCAAGGTTGTAACAAACAATTTAGAGAGAGAGAGAGAGACGATGGTTGAAAGGAATGGCAACCTGTTCACATCGTTCTTCTATGGATTTCTTTTCTCACTAGCACCATCAAGTAGAACAGTATCATCCTTGGAGATAGTAACCTAGAAACAGCGAGAACTTTGGTATAAAATCTTTTTAAATAACACATCCCGTTCTTTCTTCCGGCTCAGAATATAAACTTCATAGTTGAAAGCAAGCATTCACAAAGATAAGAGTTGAGCAAACCTTTTTGCATGAGCCCAACATGTCCAACTCGACATCTTCAAGGTTCATTCCGAGCTCCTCACTTATAACCTGTTAAAATGAAAAGACAAAGCATAAAAAAATATGCACGTCTTTTTATGTGGGGAAAGGTTGACATGTTTGGAAATGCACTTGCCTGGCCTCCAGTTAAGACAGCAAGATCTTGCAAATTAGATTTCCTGTTTTCACCAAATCCAGGTGCTTTCACAGCACAAACCTGCAGAAAATTTAAATGTAAATGGCAAAAGTCAAGCACAAGGCAGAGAAATAATCACCCAATGAAAAGAAAAAAACCCCAAATTCAGGAAAAATGAGCTAAATACCTTAATTCCAGCTCGAAGTTTGTTAACGATAAGAGTTGCAAGAGCTTCACTTTCAACGTCTTCCGAAACTATCAAAAGAGGTCTTTGCCTCTGCATATATACAAGACATAGGAATCACTAGAGAAACTAAAGCATGGTCATAAATGAGCTAATAATTTTAAAACCAAAAGCATATGCTTTTGTCAAGGTCATCAACTTAGTGTTATATACCTTCAAAGCTAATTCCAAAACTTTCACAACAGCATTTAAGCTTGATATTTTCTTCTCATGGATTAAAATGAGTGGGTCATCCAGTTCCTGCAGACAAAGATAAATGTAACTACATCAGGCATGAATCAGATACAAGAAAATCGTTGGTAGTATAGATCGATTCAGCCAAATTAAGACTTACACATTTCTGGTTTTTCTGATTTGTAATAAAGTATGGGGATATGTAACCTCTGTCCAGCTTCATCCCCTCAACCACTTTCAATTCATTAAATAGTGTCTTTCCATCCTGCGAACACCACATTTATATCTCAATGAAAAGCAAACAAGTAATACTCTACCAAGAACAAAAGCGCTATACATGTTGAAGCAAAATATAAGAAGTAGCATGTCATATATTAGCAAGCTTGTCTAATTATCTAGCTTTTCTTCACAGGATAAAGATCTCTACTCATACGAAAATAGTGAACTAACGAAAATAGAGATATGAAACAAAAGATAATGCTCCTCTACCCATGGTGGGCACATGTTAATATGTTCACCGCTTATGTGGCATGCACACATTGGTGATGTTAATATGTTCAAAAAAATACATCACCAATGTGTGCATGCCACATAAGCGGTAGGCATATTAACATGTGCCCACCGTAGGTAGGAGAGCATTACTGATGAAACAAAATATGGTCTCAGCTAAGCAAATGTCTTATAACTCTGATTGCATGGAACATTCAAAATTTCAAACTAACACAACAAAAATATGCATTTACCCTGACCTATATATAGTAGGCAACAAATTCATTAGGAACAAAAATAAAAAAAAAATGAATATCATAGGAGTCATAACAGAGTATTTTACAACAACAGAGAACTAACAGGAGAATATAAAAACAATAAAAAGAATGAGAAAAAATTCAGAAGTGTTATAAAACTAGAGAGAAAGAGAGATAATAGAGAAAATATTTCTCTTAGGTTCATTTTTCATTATAACTGATGCTCCTATTTATAGGAAACTTTCGATGGCACAACTTGTAATTATACAAATACATCGAAGGCAAAATAGTCATTCACATATATTATTTTATAACAAATGATTCATAACACTCCCCCTTGAATGACTATTTCTAAACATATTTTAACTGATTTGAATAACGCCCAATTTGAATATCTTGAAGTGTATCTTGTAGCCATCGATACTGGTGCTTCAGTATATCAGGAAAACCCGGTGGGACAAAACCTGATCATCTTAAAATTATAACATTGCTTCCTCAGGAAAACCCAGTGGGACAAAACCTGATCATTATGGAATCACAACATCTATCCTCAGGAAAACCCGGTGGAACAAAACCTGAGCATTGTGAAGCACAACATTGCCCCCCCCTCAAATAGATCATCTTTAATGGAGTATTCACGTGCTGCCTCGTTAAAAACTTGTCAAGAAAACCCAATGGGAAAAAACTTGATCGAAGGAAAAAGAGTACAGCTACTCCAGTGTTTTCTCATCATAATGAGGAATCATATCAATTATCTAGTAGTCCTCATTATATCATGAATGTGCCTCGTTAAAACCTTATTAGGAAAAACCCAGTGGGACAAAATCCTAATGAAGGAAAAAGAGTAACACTATTCATGTGAATACGCCATCCATGTTGCCTCATTAAAAACCTTGCTAGGAAAACTCAATGGGACAAAACCTCAGCCAAGGGAAAAAGAGTACAACGCGTATTCCATATATTCATCATAATAACACTTCCATAATTTTCATGAATATCATATAGATTCATTCACATTTTCTGATACTGGTGGTATTTACGATAATATTTCATATCATGCTTTTGTGCAACTTTCATTCTTAAATTCATTCTCATCATCAATCGATTTCAATGGTCTTATTGAAAATAGTTCTCAATATTCACTATTGAGTTGATTTCATTCTCATCAATATCATTTATATAGCGCTATTCATCTGTTTGTGTCGACACATATTCATTTCCGTTATTCCCCGTAATATATTGAGATATCTCATTATCAGTTGATTTCATCGATAGTATGTATATGCCTCCTTTTATCACTTATTTGGGGAATTTCAATTTGCACAATACCAACGCTTCCAGCGTATCTTTCCACCATCATATCATTTCATATATTTCACCACCATCAGTATAATTCAGTTTATGATTTGCACACTTTCAGTGTGATGCATATATCATTTCCAAAATTTCAATAATTGATTCTCCCCCTCATCTTAACAGATCCTTGATCTGTATTTTCAGTATTGAGTTTCTTGAAAGGAGTTCATATAATCTCCATTTCATTCTCGATTTAAACATATAATAGGAGGACTTTGAACTCATATCACTTGTAATGTGCACATTTTTCATCTCATCATATGAGCTGATTATATTACTAGCTCCATCACTTTCATATGACACTTATTTTCATTCTTTCATAGCCATCTTGTGTCATTCTTTGATCAAACCATCTCGTAATTTCATGTTACGTGTCATATACACATTCTTTGATCAAATCATCTCGTAACTTCAGGTTACGGATCACACACATGTGGCTATCTAGTGGATCCATAATATCTAGTAGCACACATGGAGGGGTAGTGGGCCCATATATATCGTACCCCCTTTATACTCATTTTGATCAAAAATCGATTCACAAATATTTAGCCAGTAATAATTCCACCAATCGAGAACAAAGTATCTCATATCACAAAGAATCAATTAATCCTTCAAACTATCATCATTTATATCAGTAAACATCACAATAATTCATTGTGACCCATTAAACATATCACATCATCTTTCGGCGGCAATAAATGCACTTCAAGTGCAGATTCTGACTCACAATATTTAAATTCACATGCGTATCAATCTTTCTGTCAGACAGACTATTTATTTTAGAGTCGTATAGCATACGCATCATTTCTATAAATTATCATGCATTCCATTTAATCTTTACGAACAAAGGTCCGAATTTACATATGAATTTGGCACTCTCAAATATCCGTAAATATTATTCTTTTGTTCCAGTAAATATCATAAAAAGAATTTATCGGTCTCGAATAGAAAGATTGAGGGTGCTAATGATTAATCATATTCCAGGCGATATTCGTTGGTTGATTGAAGCAAAAGTTCGATTGTCGGGAGAGTTTTAAAATTCATACAAATATATGCCAGGTATGGGTAAGAGTACTTTTGCAAAGAAACGAAGAGCAAAACGATTAGGTGGATGCTTCAAATGTGCTCGATGGACTTGTGACACACGATGTAAATCAGTGGGGTTCGTGTCCAAAAATCGAGAAAATAAAATAGCATTTATAAAGGATGGATTGAGTAAGGAGTCTATGGATCAAACGATTCACCAGATTCTTGAGACACATTCTAGTGGGTATGTGCATCGTGAGCTTCTGTCTTTATGGGTTCGTTTCAAAAATGAAGAAGAACGTTATAGTCTCGAAAATATTGTTTCAAAAGATCAAGTTTGTAAAACTAGTCTTGTTATTACGAAAAATCATACTAATGAAGTTTAGTAGTTGTACTGTAATTTTCAAAGAATCTTATAGCTGCCGACAGATAAGATTTATTTAAGACCCTACACCTTATCTGTCAGTTGTAATTGTCAGAAGAAACAGTAAAATTATTTATCGTTTTGTAAATCTTTCCTTTTAAATAGCGAGTCGTTCATCATAATCTTATGCCTCTCAAAATTAAGTTTATCAATGAATAGATGGATGTTTCAGAGTCTTCGCAAGGTAATAAATTTCTTCAACCGATCAAAACCATATGTGTTCTTGGTGGTTCAAGACTGGTAAGTTTTTCTCAAAATGTTGATTTTGTGAGTCAGCTGGTAAGGGATATGGGAAATCAAAAAATCAATTTACTGTATGGAGGGACTAGCATCACTTTCTTTGATAATCTTTTATTAGCTGGAAAATGTTTTGAGATAGACGTGAAAAGTATCATACCTTTTCATAGAGCTTCAACAAGGGTCGTCAAGGATTCCATATGCATGATGTTAACTCATTCTATTCATGATTGTATGATGGATATGGCGAACAAGAGCGATGCATTTATCATTCTTCCAGGCGGTTATGGAATGCTAATGACAATGTTCATCCTTGCTTCTTGGGCAGAATTGAAACTTCATAACAAGCCCATAGGTCTATTGAATTTTAATAACTTTTTTTCTGGTTTGCTTGGATTTTTAGACCAAGGAGTATATCAAACCTTTATATCTCCTACAACAAGAGAAGTATTCAAATTTGCAGATACGTCTGGTGAGCTTATCAAAAAGCTCCAAGAATGCATCACATTTCAAGATTATGTGGAAACACAAGGGGTCAAAAGAAAAAGAGCTTTTGATCCTTTAGATCTCTCATTATGAACCCATATAACAATAATGGGTGGCAGAGTTACGGAGTTTTATACTCTCGAGACGCACCGTTCTTTTATGGGTTCTATTATGTAATATTTGTGTATCTCGTATTTATCGAGTATGTACTGCCTCTTCTCCATATTTCCATCATATGAACTTTTAATACTTGTTTCTCATTAATAATAATATCAATTTCACTTTTCCATAATATGAGCGTGTAGTACTTTATGACTACAATCATTTACCATATGTGCTTCTTCTGAAACACTTTATTGTAATATCTATAGAATCTTGTATCTCATTGTGATCTGATATAGTCCCTTAGACTCATATAATATATTAAGAAAACATTTCGTATGATCACCCATAACTTGTAGCTTTTGATATCACTTTCTCAAATTGTTCAATTTTTTAATGGTAGCTTCAGGTACCATTTTATCATTTTATTTAATCATAACGTGGTAGCTTCAAGTATCACTATACCACGATATCATTTAATTATTATGACGTAACTTCCGACATCACATTAATCATGTGGTAATTTCCGGTACCATCTTATCAATTTATTGTTTCTCCAAAATATCATTCATTTCACTCATCGGCTATCAATTATTAGCACTGTCCGTCGCCGGCGGCAGAACCGCACTGGCCGACCCATGTATATATAGCCATTCATACTTTATTGCACGTGGCCTTACCACCCGACCATTCCATATTATCGGCTATTATTAATTAATACACTGGCCGATTTATTTAGCCGCTCAATATTATCCGTTGCTAATGGCTGCAACACTTGGCCATTTCACATAACTGTCATAATATTTTGACCGACAATTGACCCGTTGGCTACCATTAAATATTTCTTGCCGGCGGCAGAGCCGCACTGGCTGATCCATATAGCACGCATATTTCTTTTCTTGTCACAATGGTCAATACATAAATATTCGTATGTTCATGCATCAAATATTACAATAGCGAATCCATAAATATGAACATGTCCATGTGTCAAATAATTTTCACAATAACCAAATTCAAGCATTTTATAACCATAATATTTATTGATGTATTATAATAAACTATATCAATATTGGTCTTAAATTGGAGCTATCATTAAATAGAGTAGTATGAAAGTAGAATAATTTTATTTCGATAATCACAACTAATTCTATTTGATAAAACATATTTCTTTATATTAAATGAAACTTAATGAAATAATTCATCCTATTTTTTTCTCATTTACGTCACCCTCAATGTGCATAAGTCAATAGATGTGTGTAAATGTTCTACAGTACTATCATCTAATGGTCATCAAATATTGACAATGATGTCAATTGGCATTTATAGCATATCAAAACCCCTCCTGCAAGAAGATATAACTAAAACTGTGATTGCACATGGATTGTGTGACCTTTTTTTAAATTACTCCTCCACCCAATTCTCTCCACTATTGTTTTATTACTTCCTTCCCACCATATACGCATACCACACAATGGAGCAAAATATATATTTTTTTTTATTTTTTTTTTATTCATTCTTAGAACATAGCAGACATTCATAACCCTCAAATCTCCCAATCCCACTGTTTGTCAACTTGTTTTTGCACCAAGTTATCTTTATTATATCAGATGTTAACATTAGTTGTAATACCGAATCTGATACACCTAGATTTCTTTCTTTGTTCTTAATTTCAATTTTTTTTCTTCTACAAATATTCTTTTCAATTAATCAAACTTCTATCCCTCTCACAGATTTTCAATTTTTTTTTTTTAGAAATAACCATACCTTTCAATTTCGGATCCGAGAAAGTTCGGTTTGTGGGGCTACGTGTTGTTACACCACACAAAAGGCGGATCATCGCTACTTGGCGAATTGGAATGAGATTTGGCCGATTACAAATACGCTTTTGGAGCTTTGAGGAGAGTAGAGAGTGTCATGGCAAACTTATATTTTTATATTTTGTGGTTGATATTGGGGTTTGAAACGGTGGGAGTATTTTATCATTTCATGTTGTTTTTGGGTAGCTAATGACCAATGGTAGAAGATGGAAAATTAAGAGTTTATGGCTTCAAATTGGTTGAAGGAAATAATCGTTTTGTAATAATTCGATTTCTGGTACAGAAGATCGTCTACAAGACGCAACTGTAGAGCATACTCTCGTTATGTTACAAATCCAGCTCTAGAGGGTAGAGACTCGTGCTGATAACGTGTTATAAAACTAGAGAGAAAGAGAGATAATAGAGAAAATATTTCTCTTAGGTTCATTTTTCATTATAACTGAAGCTCCTATTTATAGGAAACTTTCGATGGCACAACTTGTAATTATACAAATACATCGAAGGCAAAATAGTCATTCACATATATTATTTTATAACAAATGATTCATAACAAGAAGGCAAATTTCTTAAGGTACATCATACAAATCAAGAATAGTGTACATACTTGAATTGTGATAACACCCTCTTTGCCTACTTTCTCCATAGCCTTTGCAATTAGCTCACCAATTTCTCTTTCTCCATTAGCAGAAATTGTTCCAACCTGTATGCACAACCAAATTAGATAGCTAATGGTTGAAAAGGGGATCGAATACTCATTTTCCTAGGACTCATTCTCTTCCAGACTTGACACATGGCACTCATTAAAACACTGCTTTATCTTTTCTTGATGAACATTATTTGAATAAAGTTCACCACAAACAAACCAGAGCAATCTCCTCGGACGTGCTAATCATTCTTGCTCTGCTTTTCAAGTTTGTAACTACAGCATCAACAGCCATTGTGATGCCACGTCTTAGGTCCATTGCATTCATGCCAGCTGCCACAGACTTGCAGCCTTAAGTGAGTATTGCACGAGTGAGGATAGTGGCACAGGTAGTACCTGAAACACACAATTAACACAGACTTAGGATAAAAAAAATGTATTTACACTTAAAAAAAAAAAATACAAAACAGGTTTGAAATAATGACTTACCATCACCAGCAACATCATTTGTAGCATTGGCGACCTGTTTCACTAGGCTCGCACCAATGTTCTTAACCCTGTCCTTGAACTCAATGCTTTTAGCTACGGTCACACCATCTTTTGTCACTTTAGGGGCACCCCAACTTTGTTCAATCACTACATTATGCCCCTTTAAGAAGAAAAAACACCAATAAATACTTCTTAATTCATAATCCATATAAAAAAGGCAAAATTGAAGAGTTAAACAAAAACCAAGGACGGCACACCAGAAATAGTCTAGGGAAGCCACCATAACTGACAATGCATAGAAGATCAAATATAAACCAACAAGACACCAAGAAGTACAAAGTTGTACATCACATTGTCAATTTTAACTACTTAAGTGATGTGAAGTGAAACCACAAACACACACACACACACACTTGTAAATAAGTAGCAGTGACAAAAAGTTACCTTTGGACCCATAGTAACTTTAACAGCATCAGCAAGATCCTCAACACCCTTAAGCATCAGAGCCCTTGCATCCACACCAAATCTAATGTCTTTTGCAGCATAGTTTCTGTTCCAACCCAATCTACTACCAATCTGCAACAACCACCAAAACCCATATCCCAATACATATGAATCATAACAATGTCATCTATATTTGAAAACAGAAAAAACAAATCCATTAAGAATCAAAATTTGAAGCCTTTTTCATTCAAAAAGTACCTGCTGGCTGCTGTTTCCAGCAACCCTGCACAATAAAGAAAAATGAATCTATAATTAGACCGCTAAATCAAAAAAGAGTCAAGCATAACAGTTAAAGCATGCACGCAATAGTTCCAAGAAGAGTTGTTGATTACCTGGCTTTTGAGGCAAGCTTGGCTGCAAAGCGGTACATGCTGCCTAAAAAAACTGTATGAACTGCAGGGAGAACTAGGCAGACGGGAAGAAGATGTTAGACTTTTGGAGAGGACAGAGGGCGCAGTGCACAAGTGAGATTAGATTTGGTTTCTGGTTGTCCTTGTTCTTAAAATGAGCGTAAGTGAAGAGTAGAAGTGACGAGACGCTAGGGTTTAAGGGTTAAGTCACGCCGGCGGCTGGCCCTTATTAGGGGTTTAAAGTTACTGTGTTTAACTCCAGAATCTCCTAAGAGTGGATACAAAACCATCTCAAAAAAATCTAATTATTTTTAGTATGTACAACTATAGTTGACAACATTGGTAGACAACACTAGTTATCACAATCATTGAGCTTAATCTTAGCCATACCTTTATTTGCATCTCAACTATCTACATCATAACACATCATGATATCATAAAATGTTGTACAAAATAATTGTACAAGTAGCTTTTTCCTTATTTTTAAATCAACCATTTTTTTAACTCAACTCCACTATCATCAACATAAATTCTATGGTGCCACATGTGGCACCATATTATGGTGCCACAACATGATGTGGCACATTATGATTGGTGTTACACTATCACACATCATGTTGTGGCACCAATTGTAGTTTGCCACATCATGTTATGGCACCATAATATGGTGCCACATGTGGCACCATAGAATTTATGCTATCATCAATATTTTATTATAATTAAATAATATCAATCAATCATTTTACACAACACATCATCTTTAATTTACTATTCATCCTCTCACATAATTTTAATTAGGCCTAATTGCTTATAAATGCATGACCTTTTCGAAAATTGCAATTTTATGCACCACTTTTAAACTTGGAAAAAATATGCACCACTTTCATTATTGTTTGCAAATTTATGATCAGGGCCCAATTTCGGGCTTTTATAATCGATGTGGCATTATTTTCTCAAACGTGTCAATTGTTATTCCAAATCTATATTCCACGTTGCAATTGCGTATATAATACTGAGAATCTCATCTTCAATCGACGAGCTATCCAAAAATTCCCCAAATTTCCTAAAACCCTAAATTCGAACGGATTTTATGCACGAGGCGGTTCGAAATGCACAACGAAAAACCAAACTGTGCCGAAAAATAAATCGTTCGGTGGAGGGCAGATCGGGATTTACATATACGAATGCAAAACCTGCGGCAGGACTTTCCCCTCGTTTCAGAATTTGGGCAGCCACCGGGCGAGCCATAAGAAGTCCAATCCGAATTATTCCCTAACGACCGGAGAGGAAGGTGGATCGATTTTGTCTGTCGCCGCCGCCGCCGATGTTTCTCCCCCGCAATTGATCGGTAAGGGTTTGAATATAGAGAGCAAAGTGAAAATTCACGAGTGCTCCATCTGTGGATATGAATTCGGGTCGAGGCAGGCGCAGGGTGGTCACATGAGAAAGCGCAGGGCCGCGAGCAACAACGGCAACGCTAACAAAAGCTCCAATGACTGCGAGTCGTCTCTCGATGAAGTAGGCGAGAGAGCAGGGAACGTGGCAGTTGTCAATTTTGATCTTCCCCAAATTTCCTCAAACCCTAGATTGAAGTTAAAAGTTAATCGGTATTTCCAGTGTATTCGGTTTTTTCAAGTTAAAGTGAGATAATTGACACGTCTGAAAAAATAACGCCACATCAATTAGAAAAGCCCGAAATTGGGCCCTGATCATAAATTTGCAAACAATAATGAAAGTGGTACATATTTTTACCAAGTTTAAAAGTGGTGCATAAAATTGCAATTTTCGAAAAAGTCATGCATTTATAAGCAATTAGGCCTTTTAATTAATCATCACTTCAACTTCTTTCACTTACATTTTACATCAAATCAACTTTAATTATTTTTTCTAAACATTATTTTAATATATTCACTAACAACTAACCATACCACATTTTGTAAAATTTAACCAAATCAAATAAAAAAAATCCAAACAAAACAAAAAAAAATTATATCCAATCTAGAGATGTCAAAACGGGTCTAGGCCCGCGGGCCAGCCCGCCCCGCCAAAAGAGTGGGTTAGGCTGGGATATTAGAGGCTCGCTGGGAGCGGGCCTAAATGGGCCAGCCCGCGCGGGCCGCGTGCTTTGGCGGGGCAGGCTTGGCGGGCCGCGGGTTGGCCCGCCTTAACAAAAAAAATATATATATATGTAAATTGAATTATGAATGTATTAATGTTAATGTTAATGTATTTTTTTCCATTTAAGTCACAATTTTTTTTTTAAAAAAAGATAACAACTAATTAAATAACAAAGTACAAAACAAATAGAACAAATAAACAAAAAATAGCAACAGAGAAAAAACGGGGTTTATTTTTTGTTTGGATTTGAATTAAATGAATGGACTTTGGTTTTGATTTTCAATGTTAAGTAAGATTGTTGTGCATTTATTTAAGTAAGTTGTTGTTGTGATTATTCAATTATATGTTTAAGTAAGGTTTTTATTTTTAATGAAACAAAATTACTTTTTAAGTTTTTTTTTTTTTTAAATGGGCGGGCCAGCCCGCCGAGCCCGCGGCCCATGGCGGGGATGGGCCGGGCTGGCCATTTTGCAGCCCGCCACGATGGCAGCCCGCCACGCCCCGCCAAATGGCGGGTTTTGCAATCATCTTATTAGCTTGGTCAGTTAGTTTCTAAACGGCTGTGTGACCATGCTTGGTCAGTTAGTTTATAGTTTTAATTAATTAGCTTATAAACTTTTTTAATTTAAATAAATTTTATATGATGAGTTTTTGTAAAATGCTCGAGCATATTTGAAAAGCTTATGATACAAGTGCTTAGGAAAATCTCATGTCAGGTTTTTACTTTTATTTCAGTTTAACTGTTAATCCACCAATGTTGACAAAAGAAGGCCGCCACAATCTATATATATATATACAATTTCTAGCATGTAGCATTTAATTTTACCTATTTAATAAAACCTCTAAAATTTTCCCTCCATTTTCGGTTACAAAATTTATCATTAATATTTTTTACTTCTCACTAATACATCCTATTGAGTGTAATCATGTATTTGTCTATTATATTATATAAAAGTTATTGCTAATACCTACTAATAATAAATCACAATTAATATAAATTACATAATAAAAAATTATTTAAAGTTATTTATTTTAACATCAATATTATCTTTTTCATGAAAAAATTTCTTTAAAAATTATTAATAAATTGTTTTAATAGCATAGTCAAACAACTTTAGAATCTTATAAATAATTTTTTTAATAATAATAATAATAATAACAATAATCAAATGGTTATTATCTAATGACGATAGACAATTGTTCATAATAATAAAATCCTTAATTATTTTTCTAATGATCAAATTTTTGAAAATGTAAAATGTATATTTGTGCATGTGCACAAGATATTTACTAGTTCTTGAAAAAGTTGCAGCAACATTTTGTTGAAAAATGAGCACACAAATGTTGAATGTGAGTTCACTGGATTGTGAGTGAGTTTGAGAGTGTGGTGCAAACACGAGTGTATTTCTTTTCTCCTAATAAAATATCTGCAGTAGTCCGGAAGCGTAGGGCATCATTGGCCGAACTCGGGTATCAATTTGGTGTGTCCAATTTTTCGCTTTTATTTCACTTTTATAGATTCGACTTTATGGAAAATTCGGCGTATTTTTTCAAACAACTGGTATCAGAGCCAGATTGTTAATTCTGTAATTTTTGTGTGGTGTTACTATTCCGTGAATAGTGAAAATATGAATAGTGCCAATTTTGTCGGCGTTAAAAATTTATCTATCGAAGTGTTCTGAAACACGGTAGTTCACAAAATTATCAGAAACGATCCGCCAGAGAAGTCAGATCAGAGACGAAGTGATGGCTGCAGACGAAGGAAAAATGAAAATTGAAAAGTTCGATGATACGGACTTTGGCTTTGGGAAGATGCAGATCGAGGATTATTTGTACAAAAAGAATATGTATCAACAACTCACAGGATAAAAGCCAGAGGATATGAAGGATGAAGAATGGAGTATCCTTGACAGACAATCTCTTGGAGCCATTCGGTTGACGTTATCCCGTAATGTTGCTTTTAACATTACAAAAGAAAAGAAGACAGCAGGCCTTATGAGGCTCTTTCCAACATGTACGATAAACTATCAGCCTCAAACAAAGTTCATTTGATGAGGCGACTGTTCAACCTGCGAATGACTGAAAGTGTTTTGATGGCACATCATGTCAATGAGCTCAACACCGTTACAACCCAGTTGAGTTCAATTGGGATCAAGTTCGATATGATGTTGTCTTCCCTACTTGAAAGTTGGAATGCTACGGTCACGGTTGTGAGTAGCTCATCGTGAAGCAATAAGTTGAGACTTTATGATGTTCTAAAGTTGGTTCTCAGTGAAGAGATTCGGCGGAAAGAGTCGGGTGAACCACCGACCTCTTCTGTATTGCATACAGAGTCAAGATAAGAAGTTCAACCAAATAAAGCAGACACAACAAATCAAAGGGAAGAAGATCCAAGTCTAGAAATCATCGTAGCTCCCAAAACTCGAAGTCGATCGAGTGCTAGAATTGTGGGAAGACCGGGCACTATAGAAACCAGTGCAAGAGTGCACCGAATAATCGGGAGACAAAAGAAGAGGCAAATATTGCTTCATCCTCTGGAGGAGATTTGTTGATATGATCTTTAGAGAACAAAGAGGAGTCTTGGGTGTTAGACTCTGGAGCATCCTTTCATGCTACCTCACAGAAGGAACTATTCGAAAATTATGTTCCTGGAAATCTTGGTAAAGTTTACCTTGGTAATGAGCAATCATGTGATGTTGTAGGAAAAGGTGCAATAAAAATCAAGTTGAACGGGTCTGTATGGGAATTGAAAAATGTCAGACATATTCCTGACCTGACGAAGAATTTAATCTCAATGGGTCAACTAGCTAGTGAAGGCTACACAACAATCTTCCATGGTAATGATTGGAAGATTTCAAAGGGTGCGATGACAATCGCTCGAGGCAAAAATAGTGGTACTCTT